TTCTTACCCCAGAGACTTCAAAACAAAGACACTGGGTTCAGACTGAATAGTCACAGGTGGGGCAAGGAGAGAGAGAAGATCCAGAAAACTCTTTATACTCAAATACCCCCACACGGGAATAAGTGGTGGGCAGAGTTAAACATTGAACAAAGGCAATAAAATTATCCCTGTAGGGAGAATGGGTGCTGAAGTCTTTTGCTTTTCTTTCTTGTTTCTCACTTTGTTTGTACTAATGTAGATGGAGAATGTTAATTGCTTTGATCACAGTTGAAATCTCTTGAGAACTGAGATTGTGCAGATAATTTTCATGGGATGCTTTACAAGGCATACAGTACATCTAGTCACAATATAATAAGTTTGTTGGAGAGGTTCTTCTTCAGTCCTCTAGCCAGACTTTTAGAAGAGGACTGTAAGAGATCACCAGGCACTTGCTTATGTATCTCCATTGAAAGTTGATCTATCAGAAGAAAAGGAGAAAATTTAAGTTCTTCGGAGTGAATATATTGAAGACAGCATGAAGAATATAGGTATGTCTCATTTTTAATAATGTAAAATATTGTTTATATGAATGATGAATGCAAATATTTTAAAAAAGCCAAGGTATATTTATTTTCCTGCTAGTTACACAGCAGAAGGATTAGTTTGGACAGGTGCAGATTTTGTTCCCATTCCTGAAAAAAGATCATCCAGAACTAAGTACTAGCCTTGCATATTTGCATCAAGATTTTACATGCTTACTTCTAGCCGCTTGATGACCAATATGCATCAATCATATGCTAACAACTGTCCATGTCACCTCTGTGTCGAATGGGTGTTAGATGTCTAAATATTCTTTATAGTTATCATTTTATTTTTTTTATCAGTTATTATTTATTTGAGGTTGGAAAGTGTTGGGTTTCATAATACCCACTCTTTCTCCCCTTCCAAACAGTTGTGCCATGACTGCAGCTCCCTTGCCTTGGCAGTTCTTGTGCTTCTGACATGGATCCTAGGCAAATATTTAAACACATTCCATCTATGATACAGCTTGGAGAGGGCATGAATTAAAAAATGAATGACCAAATTCATTTAAAAATTGCTAATTCATCAATGTGTATTCATACAAATCAATGCCCCTGATAATACGAATCAACACATTTTTGTGATTTTTGATTTACTAATTTCTTTGGCAATAAAACAGCCCACACAAGCACCTATGGACAACAGAATTGCAGGCAAGATTCCTCTTAAGCTCCTATACAATCTCTCCATGATTGGTGAAGATTGGCTTACATATGTCTGAGTTATACACGGACAAAGAGGGCCATGCAGGATGTTTCTCCCCAGGTACCTAGAGACACCAAAATAACAGAAATGCTTCTACTTGGGTTTCCCCAAGCCACCATCTAAAAGGCACATGCAATCAGATCAAGACTGTTGTAATTATATCATTGCATCGGATGTACCTCATATGCAGAGTATTGCAAATCTTGCAATCATTCAATGCTTTGTTTTTTTCAACAACTGACACCCTCCATCCCCACACTTCTACCAGATCACAAGACTTTGATAATTTTAGCTACGGTCTTCCAGCAGGAGTGATAAATCAAGGATATTTCTGAGACAAAGATCATAATCTCTTTCAGTGTCCTGAGTATTTCTCTCTTTTCCAACTTCTAATATTCTTGTGTGAATGCCAGCATCAATGCAAATAATTTGTTCTTCTGCACTTCCTCCTTCATGGTGACTGTGAGTGGTTTGTTCTGCTGTTTTGTGTCCTCAGAAATTTACACATGCTGTTACTCAAATTGATCTTAAACATTATTTCAGAGACTAAAAATTCCTAGTCATGAGTAAAGCAACATGCCTATTCTGTTTAGCATTCTTATCAAACAATGTGTTAAGGAATCTAGTCTACGAATGAATTATGAATTAACACAACTGACATAGTTCTCAGTTTATATGAATGTAACTGCCTTCATTGCAGATTAAGTAAATATTTCTTAATATTTCTGCCTTTTGTTACTACTGCAGTAATACTGATTGATTAGGCATCCTTCAGTCTCAAAAGACTATGCTTCTACAGGTCATTCAATGCTTTGTTCTTTTCAGCAACTGACACCCTCCATCCCTGCACTTCCACCAGATCACAAGACTTCGATAATTTTAGCAACGGTCTTCCAGCAGGAGTGATAAATCAAGGATATTTCTGAGACAAAGGCCATATTTTCTTTCAGTGTCCTGAGCATTTCTCTCTTTTCCAACTTCTAATAATGTTATGTGAATGCCAGCCACAATGCAAATAAACTGTTCTTCTGCCCTTCCTCTTTCATGGTGACTGTGAGTGGTTTCTGCCATGGTTTTGTGTCCTCAGAAATTTACAAATGCTGTTATTGAATTTGATCTTAAACATTATTTCAGAGACTCAAAATTCCTAGTCATGAGTAAAGTAACATACCTATTCTCATGACATGCCCAAGCCAATGTAGTCGTTGCTGTTTCTGTAATGTATACATGCTAAAAATTCCAGCTCGTTCTAGGACTACTCTATTTGGAACTTTGTCCTGCAAGGTGATACCGAAAATGTATTGCCGACAACGCATATGGAACGTGTTCAGGTTCCTGTCCTGCCATGCACAAAGGGTCCAGGACTCACTGCAGTGCTGGAGTATGCTCAGGACACAGGCTCTATA